TTCTGATTAATGGAAAGGAATAGGGGGAAAGACCTCTGTCCTAATCTTGGATAAAGGCTGACCCATCAAACAAATTTCCTACTGCAACAGAGACAATAGAAATAATTTAAGGAATATCAAAATCACAATTAGCTGCACAAACAAATGATCTGAAAAGAAAAAAACCAATCTGGTGTGACTCCAACAAAAGTTTCTTCTGCTAATCTATAGCTTTGTGGGGGTTTTTTTTCCCCTTAATAGTTTTTTTAAAAAACTACCTTTTCCCCCCAAATTTTAGACCTTTTCATTTAGAAAATTTTCAACCAGGATAAGTTGATAACTCCAAATGGTATTTCACAAACAGTTTTTAAACAAGTGGCCATCAAAGCTGACCGCTGCACAAAGAAATCAGTGTCACTCAGCCAGTCTGCTTCTGGCAAGGGAAAAACAAGGTTAATTCAAAAAGTTCCAGCTGTCCCAGAACCCCAGAGAGGAATGGCTTTTTACAGTAACCCAAACAGTTTTCAGCAAAGCCCTTTTGAGTTTTGTTGGTGAATTGGTTGGGGTTTTTTGCCCCATGTAGCCCCGAGTGCTGTGAGCTGGCCTTGGCGGCGAGGAGGGGCTGCCTCCGTGGGGATGGGCTCCTGCTGCCGCCGTGCTGAGGCAGCAGCCCCAGGTTTAAGCTTCTTTTTGGTATGTTGGTTAATCAGGAGCACACTCAAAAACACCAATCGACAGTCTCAGTGAGATAATGAAAATGATCCTGCATGTGGGTGTTTGTGGGGTCAGTGCCTCCTTTCATTATCAGTTATACAAACCATATTAGAGGGCACGTACACTCACCTCAGTCTTTTTCTCCAGCAAATACACGTGGCTCCCATTGATGCTGCTGCTGCAGCAGAAATAACTTAAAAGATATAACAAATTCCCCATAGATGGGGTAATTTCACCTCACAAAAAGCTGCACGTGATACTCAGGTAGGAGCTGGGGTGTGCATGTACTGCAGGGATCAAAAAGGCTGGCCTGTACCGAGCACAACTGCAGGCTCTGCCCAGGGTGGAAGGCTCCAGCAAAGACCCTTCAGCCTTTTTCTGGGCCATCCCCCAGCAGAGATAAGCCAACTGATCCTTGTTTGGATGACTCATGTGCTCAGCTAATTGGCTAAATGGGGGCCAGACCTCTGGTTCCCTCTTGCCCTCATAGTTTGATGAGCTGGGACCAAACGCAGACGACCACAACCGATCCCACAGGGCTTCGTCTCCTCCAGCTCCACACAGATGTTTAATACTCCAGCTGCTCATGCCAAGATGGTGTTTCCCCCCCTCCAGATTTCACCTTCAAAAGCTCAGCACATCCAACCCAGATGAATGATAGCTGAGGATCCCTGGCAGCATTGTGGGTGAGAGAGATGAGCACAACCACAGCACCGTCCCCTGTGACTCCCTGTGCCTTCAGCTCCAGGCAGGACACAGACCAAAGTCTCTCTGCCTTGGTCTGCATTTCCTAGATACAGGCAAACATAGAAAAACATTTCTCCCTGACTCCCATTTCATGTTTGGGATTTGCTTTATTTTGAGAGCGAAGGAAAGGGGAAATGACTTTCAAGGCATCTTAATGCAATTTCATTCCTGCTCCCAAATAAGTATAATACAAAAAATTAAATCAGCCTTCAATGTGATATGGATGGCCCCAGGATAAAGCTGAGGTGATGTCAGTCTACAAAACATAACATTACGTGTCATTACTTCATGTCATTACTTATTGATTTAATTCCATCATATTTCAGACAACTTTTATTGTCTAGGTACAAATCATCATATTAATAACTGGAAGCACATATGCAGATATCAAAAACACCTTCTGCCACTAAACCAATTTTTAAAATGAATCCAAAAGAAATATTTTAAGAGAAAACTCCTCCAGAATCAATTTTCCAGGGAAAAGAAAGGCCAGGCAATGGTTTTTCTGGTTCCACTGTAACATATATTCTCATTTCATATTGAGATTCCTTTTTTACTTTTGGTTTGTTGGGTGTTTTTTACAGGAAAGATTGTTCAGAAAAGGGGGAAGTTGCCAGTTTTGAAAACAAGGTATAGCTAAATATTCTATCTAAACATATTCCCTCAAATGTGCATTATCATCTCTTCAACTTCACTGGGGAATATTTTAGGTTATTAACTGAATAAAGTGAATATTATAAAATGTTTGTCTTAGAATGAAAGTTCATAATATTGATGTGTCATAATAAGAAAATAGAAAACAGTTTAAATATCAACAGTGAGGAATATTATTATTATTATTATTATTATTATTATTATTATTATTACTACTACTACTACTACTACTACTACTATTACTATTACTATTATATTTTGTGGTTTATTTTTCCTATGCAGAAACCCTGAAAAGAAAAATACACACTGCAACAAACTGTGAACCATTAAATGTTTGTACACAGCAATGCCTTCTGATGGAGTTTAACTTTGTAGACAAAGTTGTGTAAATGTTAAATAATAAGCTCATTTAGAATAAAAAAATCTGACTGTAGTATGAAACAGAATTGAAACAAAAGACTTGCCTAAAATTTACATTAGAAAAATATGTATTATTTTATTTTAGCACTCTTCTGGCAGTGATAATCTTTTAAAGATATTTCCAAAAATGCATGTTCTCCAAGTTTTGTATTTTCCTGTGATTTATCCTTTTTTCCTTTTTCTGACTTCTTTTCTCTTCATTGCTGCAGATGTTTCTCTGTGTTCTCATACACATTGGACTGCAGCTGGGAAAATCCTGCAGCACCACAAATTCTCAGCCCAGTCCTAGAGTAGCAGATTTTGGATGAAGCAGGCTTCTCATATTCTCCCTTAACAAACTCCCCAGCAACGCTGCACCCAGAGGAGCCAGCCTCGAGGAGCACTGTCCCCCACCAGGTACCAGTGCTTGGGGGGTGTTGTTGCAGGTGTCCCACAGGCAGCCTGGACCCCAGGGCCACGTCAGGGCGTCCCTGCCGCTGCTCGTGGCTGCCTGCCCTTTTCAGCGCCAACATCCTTTGCTCAGTAACTCCCCGTGCTGGAAGGAAGCAGCAGGCTGAAGCCAGCCACGGGGCTGGGAGTCTCCCCCAAGGAAGCTGATGAGAGTTTTCCCACACATTTGATTTTCCTATGAGAAGGGCTTGCCAGGCTGGGGACAATGTCCTGCAGCAAGGCTGAGTACAAATGGAAAAGAGTGTCCCCACAATAATCCCCTGCAAGATTGTCTCTAAAATGTACTCTTGCGCATTTCTTTCTATTCAAATTCCCCTTTTTGTATTCAGTTTCAGACACAAATATCTGTAGATCTGCCTCAGCCCAGGTGAGACCTCATTCCAAGGTCTTATTCTATAAATTATTTCACATGAGTTTAAGGCTAAGCCCCTGCACAGTCCCTGCCACCCCCAGCAAGCCCCCCAGAAAGGCTTCAATTACAGCAAGCGCTAAATGCACTGCTGGGTTGAAGCCTGAAAATGTTTGTAGGACCAGGGATTAAAACACAACATATTACATCTGGAGCTTCTAAAGCCAAGTGGACCTGAGCAAAGTCAAATGGAAATGCTAACTCTATTTTTATTTAAAAAAAAAAATAGCACAGGCTTCAGCAGTAGTTCTGATATGCTGTCTCCTCTTGGGGAACTAATAGACAGGGAACAGCAAGGCTTTAAATGATTTATTCAGTACCCTGGAGATTTTTTATTTTCTTTTTCATTTCCACATAAATTACACAAGCACTTTATAAAATGAATACACATAAAACACCTTGTAAGTGCATAACTTAAAAAAAACCAAAACAACAAAAAAAGCAAACAATCGAATGCCTTTAAAAATCTCACTGAAAATAGGTTTTCTGGTTGCTTGTTTGTATTAACTGCTTAAATTGGCAGTGCTGTTTTAGATTATAAGTAACTGAAAAATATATATTGTTTATATATATATATAGCTATATATTCCTGGCATTTGCTAGAAGTGCTTTGTTTAATTTTGTCTCATTCTCTTGGTACAATTAAAAGAATAACTAAGTTAAACAGCTGAGAGTGAAATCGATTTTTTCTGTCAGGAACTGCCTTCTAACTGGAAAATGATAAAATAAAACATTGGACAACATTTTGCAAATTATATGGAAATATTCCATGGAAAGAACCTGCATTACCCCCACAAACTGCCACCCAGGTCTTCTCGTTATTAAAATACTCGCTGATGGGCACAGAGTCCGTGGCAGCCAGGGACTGTTTGGGCTCTCCATACAATTGAGATATCATATTTACCGTCCTCAGGAGTCTGTCAGATCCTTCTCTTGTTCCCCCCTCGCAAGAAAAAATTAATGAAAAAGGGGAGGAGAGACAGCGAGGTGAGATCTGAAGGGTTCCCATCTGGCACAAGCAGAAATTGCTGCTGTTTTCTCCATTTGTTGCATCCCCGAATGTCTCTGGTGCGGACAACCCAAGAAGGCTCACAGTAGAGACAGTGCTTCCCAGAGAGCCTTCTCTTTCTCTTTCAAGCCAACAGTTCAAAGCATATATCTATATATATCTATATATAGATATACATATATATATATATATGGTTATACATAGACTCTGCACTGCCGCCAGTAGAATCCTAAGGAAGTTTTCCTCTCCCCCAGCTGGATGATCACCAGCGGCTGTGTCTGTCAGGGCTGGGCTTTTGTCTGGCAGCACGTCAGCAAGTTCAGGGTCGACACTGGAGACTTTCAGGAGAACAAAAGGACTGGGGGGAGGTGAGACAGCATTGCTGCTCCAGCAACTCCATGGCTAGGGAGAGTTTTTGGGGTGACTTTCCTTCTTTTTGTTCCTTGTGGAGGGCTTCCCCAGCTGGATACATAGGATGCTTCTGGCCAGAGGATTAGGGGGTTCCAGCCCTCCTTAGGGAGAAACAGAGTTGCTACATGTCCCACCAAGGATGTCTTGTGTCCGCCTGGGGACAGCCCCGCCAGTCCAAGGTGTAGGTGCCACCAGTGGGTGCCAGACTTATTCACAAGCAGAGGCGACAGTGGTGACACTGGTGATCTTGGTGGAGTCATCAGACCAAGGCTGGAGATTCTGAAGGGCGAAGAGAGAGGAGTTGTGGACGCAGATGGGGTCGGCTTGGATGGGCTGGTTGATGGTTTTTTGGAAGGCTTCCTGCTGCAGCTGCATGAGGATGCGGTTTGCTTGCTGCCGCTCAGCCTCCCGCTCCTCTGCTGTCTGCCTCCTAGGAGAGAGGGAGCCATTAGGGGGGCCTGGGGAAGCCAGGGAAGGGTGTCCCCAGAGAGATTAACTTATGCTGGGTGCTCATGATTTGGGAGGGCAGGGGTAGGAAAAGACAGTGCCTTGCCATGGCATGGTCCCACATCCCGTACTCAAATGGCCAATAAATCCCATAAACTGGGATTTAAATCCCAGTAAATCCCATAGACTGGGTTGGTCTGTTTTACTGGCCTCTGCAAAAACACTGCTCTGATCAAGGAGAGTTTGGAACAGCCCACAGCTCTGGATTACTTTCTGCCCACAGGAAAAAAAACAAGCAGGGACAAAACACCCAAAGCGTCGCAGAACAGCATTGTAAAAGTTGTGATCCCCTGAAGCCATGCTCTGGTCTAACAGCAAGAGCCGAGCATGCAAAGCCCCAGGAAGAAGCATGGAGCAGGGTGGGGTGAGGCAGTGACTGGCAGTGCCACACAGCTGGGAGATGGGCAATGTCACTCTGGACGTCCCATTTCAGCATCCAGGTTTGCTGCCTTGTCTGCCATGCTGTGGTGACCAGCTCTTGAGAGCTTGGATGAAGGTAAAAACATTTCCATAGCAGGCAGAAAAATTTCAGCTAAACACTAGAAACACATTTTTGAGCAGTAACAAAAATCAAAGCACAGAATATACTATCTGGAAAGGGTGAATGACAGTGCTTTTCAGAACTTGGACATGTGTCTGCCTGGTATGACACCAGCAGAAGTGATCCCCAAGGAGTGAGTGCTAGGGGGTCAGAGGGGGCTCTTTTCAGTGTTGGTTGGGCCCTGGCCCTGGGCTGCCCAGGAGCAGAGAATGGGATAGGTAGAAATAGCCTGAATTCTCTTATATCCACAATGGAAACGCCAGTCCTGCTTGCTTGGATGGCAGGTCAGTCTAAAGTCTGCAGCTTGCACTCACCCCTACTTCAGCTGGCACCTCTATTGATGCTGCTGGGAAAACCTGGGAGCAACTCACAGTGCTGGTCCTAGGATGATTCCCAAAGCATCCCCTCCCTCCCTCACACCCCCAGGCTCAGCTGACATCCTCTCAGCAGCTTCAGTGGACCAGTGACACAGGAAATGGCAGCTTTTTAATTTAGCAGCTCGGGGGGGATGTGAGATGTCTCATCCCCTTTGGCCATGGGAATTGGAAGTGGCAGCTCTGATCTCCACAGTGGTATCTCAGAGCACAGGGCAGGGGTCCCTGGCTCCCAGTGGGGAAGCAGGCTGGCACCTGGATGCCAGCAATGGGCCTCTGGGCACCCAAGCCTCCAGACATGTGGCCAGGGTTCCCTCCTGGGAGCAGGTATTTCAGGGCACAGTCCCTGTTCTAATCACTGTGTCAACATCTCACATCAGACATCCCGGGAAGAGTGGGCTCAGAGCTGCACCTGCCTGGGGAGTAGCTCAGTCTCTGCCTCAATGAATATTTAATGACCCCCTGAACAACGAGGAGATGCTCCAGGAGGAGGGAGGGAGCCCCAAGTCCAGGGTGATGAGGAGTACCATGGCTGTGAGCACCTTGCTCCCAAGGGTTTCCCTGTTGCAAGCAGCAGGTATAGTCATGGATTCACATCAGAATGGGATTTCCAGGTTCATACCTGCCTGGAAAGAGCTGTGTCTAAAGCAAGAACCCTAATCTGAGGAGGGGATCACACAGCCACCTCCCTGCAACGGAGACAACCAGGCAAGGGGCAGGGGCAAGACTCTTCCCCCCAATCTGCATTCAAGCAGTTAAACTGCTCAGAGAGCTTATAGCAACTCTATTTTCTTAGATACTTGAACTGCCTCATTCAGGCTGAGCCTGCAGCAGCTCTTTCCAGCTCCCAGTGCCCCAGGAACCACTCAGAGCCCACTGCCCAGTGCAGGGCCCTGAGGCATGAAGCTGAGTGTGCTATCAGCCAGGGGCACCCACATCTCCATCTCAGCAGGCACAGATGCATACAAGCAGAACTTACATGCCTGTGTCCCTCTGGCTCAGGCCAGAGATTCTCCCATGTCTAATATTACAGCTGAGCTCTGGCTGCAGCCTCTCCCTTAGGCAGAAGCAGGATTTTGTTTCTCTTTACCCAGCTATTTTTTGTAAAACACGTGAATAGGTTTGTATCCTCTGCACCTCTGCCAAATAAGGCTGAATTTAGCCAACAGACGCAAAGAGTATTGACAGATGGATTTGCCTCACTTCCTTAGGAAACCTGGTTAGAAGACACAGCTGACCCCATTTTGCAGGCCACAGCAGGATTGTTCCTCCTCCAGGATTCTTTTTCTGGCCAACAGAGACCACTCCAGCTAGAGACTTCCTAACAGTTGAGGAATTGCACTACCATAGGTTCTCTAGGGAAGAACTCACTGGGGTTGAGGATTCACACTCCCTCTTGGTTCCAGATTCCTTGACCCCCATTTCTTACCCAACCTCAGCATACTCAGGCAATCACCGTCCTGTTAACCCTTGGGAAGACTCTGGGGAAGTCCTTTCCCCCCATTTTGAAGAAGCTGCCTGCCAGCCCTCCAGCACCCAGCAGCTCAGCAGCCAGCCCAGGGCAGGAGATGTTCTCAGGACTTGTGTGTCTCCCTCGGGAACATCCCGGGAACGTGCAACTTGGGAGGGGCAGGGTCACTGCGACGGAGCCCTGGAGGCTCGGTGTGAGCCCAGCCTTCTCTTCCTCTCCGGCTTTACCGGCACGCCCGGCAGCAGAACAAAAAGAAAGCGTTTGGGCAAGGAGGCGCCGCGAACCCCGAGGGGACGAAAATCTCCGCGCTGTGCAAAGCGCGGTACCCGGACAGCCCCGGGCCAGGGGCTCCCACTCGCCGCTGCCGCGGACAGAGGCGGGGGAGCCCCTGCACCCTCTGGTGCCACTGACTGCACCCACTGCACACGTGTGTGCTCACACACGCTCATCCCCGTGGCATACCCGCACGCGTTTTTGCACGCAGGGCCGGTGTGCCCACACGGCCCGCAGCACCCCGCACTCGCCGGGCTGTGCTGTGCACTCACACCCCTGTGCACGCTCACACACACACACACGCACACACACTTCGCACTGACCGTGCAGTTACACTCCCTTGCACGCACACCCGCAGGTGTGCACACACCACACGCACACACACACACCGCTGTGCATGCACACGCACGTGTACACACACAGTCACATTCACACACACACACGGGGCTCGCACGCCTCTGCGCTGCCATCAGGGCTCCTGGCAGAGCTGCTGGCAGCAAGGTCTGTGCCCCCGGACTGCCCCACCCCGGTCCACCGAGACCCCGGTCCCTCACCTCCACTTGGTGCGCCGGTTCTGGAACCAGGTCTTCACCTGGGCGTCCGTCATCTTGAGGGCCTTGGCCAGGGCAGCGCGCTCGGCCGAGGCCAGGTATTTCTGCCGGTGGAAGCGCTTCTCCAGCTCGCAAATCTGCAGCCGGGTGAAGGAGGTGCGCGGCTTCTTCTTCTTGGGGGGCGTGCGGTTCTGGTAGGGGTGACCTATACGGCGTGTTACAGTGAAGGGTGAGAGGGCCACTGGGGGGGACACGGGAGGAGGGGGGATGAGAGGCAAAGAAGCAAGCAGCGACACATCAGCAGAGGGGCTCCGGCTCCCGGCCGCTGGGCTGGGGACCACCCCCCACCGCTCCGAAGCCGCGGCTTCCCCGCCTGTACCCGCACACGAGCTGCAGAAGCTCGGCGGTGGCGGTCCCGCGGACCGGGAAGGCCCGGCCGCCTTTCCTGGGCGCTGCGGGCACCCGCCGGGCACCGCTCGGCTCCGGCGGAGGGGAATGTGGCCGCTTGCCCGGCCAAGTGCCCGGCGAAGCGCCCGCCGGGGAACGGGGGCTCAGCAGCGGCAGCCTGTCCTGGCGCCGGGCCGGGCTCCGCGCCCCGTGCCAAGCGGGTTCGGGATAATTTCGTTTAGGCGCGGCGGTAACCCCATCGCCGCCGGCCCCAGTGCCTAGTACAGAAAAGTACAGTCCCGGACTGGAAATTGGAGTTTAAATTTGTTGTTCTGTTTGTTTGTTCCTTTGTTTTGTTTTGTTTTAAATATATATGGTTTTGTTTGGATTTGTTGATTTGATTTTTTTTTCCCAAACCCACCAAAACAAAAAAAAAATGAAATTAGTGAAAAGTCACATTGTGTCTAAGCCAGGAACAAATTGAGGGAAATTCAGTCAGGTGCTTGCCAAGGCAACAGCGCGTTCGTCCACCCGCGGCCGTGCCCGAGCCCAGCGCCATCGGGTCGAAATTAAACGGGAACTTTCAAAAATCGGGCCTCGGTTTCCGCCCTCGGGAAGCGGCGCTGATTTTTCCCCGTTGTAATTTCGTTCCTTTTGTTCGTTTGTTTGCGTCTTTTTTATTTATTCCTTTTCGTTCGAGTTTTTGCTTTGTTAGTGCCGAAAGACGAGCCCAGCTACACCTGGAAACCGTGGCGAGGCCGAGAAGAAGCTCTAGCCCGAGCCCGGCTCTGCTCGGGCCTGCAAAACGTCCCTTTTGGTGGGGAAAAAGGCTGAGCTGAAACCCTCAACCGGGGAGAGCCAGCCCGTTAAGAAAGGCAACGGGACGGCCTTCCCGGGCAGGCCAGGGCCGGGGCCGCGGGTTTGCCTTCCCGCCGGCCGGGCCGTGCTTCTCAAACAACTCTCGGTTTTGAAGGAAAGTTTCCCCGGGTCTGGCTCGGGCGGCAGGGATTGGGCAGCCGTGCCCGGGGCTCGCGGGAGGTCGTGTACGGAGTTTACCATCCCTTTTCCTCCTTGCCTGCCTTTGCCGACCCGTATCGCGGGAAAAAAAAAAAAGTAAAATCCTACACCAAACTAATAAATAAATAAATTAAAAGGAACTAAAACAGCAACAACATAAAAGCCCACATATACAAACAATCAGACCAACCAAAATATCAAAACAAACAAACAAAAGGAAACACAACTCATTTAGGGGGGACTGGATACGCCTCATTTCCCACCCGGTCTTGCTTTTGGCCTCCTTCGGGACCAGCTTCCCAGGACCATCCCGGCCGCTTTCTCCACCCGGCCGGAGAGATCCCCGGCCGGATCCGTGTGGGCACCGGTTGTCGCGCCGAGGCCGGGCGGCGGGGGACGAAGCGTGGCGGCAGGAGCAGAGAGAGAAAGGGGGTCCCGGTGGCGCAACTCACCTGTGAACCTGTCTTTTGTGTACCGCCTGTTGCTCTCCATCCAGGGGAAGGTGAGCCCCGTGAGGCTGTTCATGCCGTTCACCGCCGGCACGGCGGCGGAGAGGGGCTGGTGGACTCCGCCGGCCACGGGGCGATGGGCCGGGACGCGGATCACGCCGCCGGCCGAGCTCAAGGTGTTGCCGTTCATGCTCACCGCCATGTTCACGTTGTAGGAGCCGGGCAGGCCGCCCATGCTGCAGGAGGTGCCGGTGTAGGCGCCGGCCGCGCCGCCGCTCGCCCCGTAGCCACCCGTGACCGTGTTATAGGCGCTGCCCACGATGCAGCCCAGCCCGTAGTCCGCCGAGTCCTGCAGCCGCGGGTGCGACACCATGCAGCTGCCCGGCTCCGACGTGTTGAGGATCTGGTCGATGCCGAAGCTGATGGGCTCGGCTTGCCCTTGGTGCAGGTGGTGAGCCCCGAGGTGCTCCATGCCGCCGCTCGGGTACCGGGGCCGGACCTCCGCCCCGGGCAGGGCAGCGCAGCCCCGCACCGCCCCGAAACCGGCTACGGGGCCGCACAGAGCCCGGGAACGCCGGCTACGCGCTCAGTCCCATAGCACGACGGCAGAGCACCCCAAGAAACGCCAGCAGAGCCACGCAAGGCCGAGACACGGCAGCCACACGCTCAGCACGAAGACACAGCAGCACAGCCATGCGCAGCCCAGGTACAAGAGTGAAACAGCCCCGCAGCCCGGGACGCCACAGCCGTGCCCAGCGCGGCTCAGGACACAGACACCGGAGACACAGCCGCGCCACGCACACCCGACAGCTTCCAGGAGCGGAGACCGACACCCCAGCCACGCACACCGGCCCCGCTCCGACGAGACCCAGCACCCCCAGGTACCAAGACACGTCGGGAGCCTCTCACCCAGGACAGACAGACGTACGCACGGACACACGCACACACAGGGGTGCCCCGGGGACCCCTTGCCGCGGCGGGCGGTGGGCAGCCGGGAGCCCCGCGGAGCGGAGCGCGGCGGATTGTGAGTGCGATCGCCCGCCGCCCCGCTTGCCCATCAATCACCCTACCCAGGGCCTACTGCTGCAGGCCCTCACTCTCCATTGGTTGGATGCTGAGAGCAGCCCAGTGAATGACAGCAGAGAAGAGCACACAAGAGGAGTTTCTTCTTCCCCAGCCCCCTCTTACACTCCCCCCCATCAAAAAAAAAAAAAAAAAAAAAAAAAAAAAAAAAGAAAAAAAGAAAAAAAAAAGGAAAAAAAGAAAAAAAAAAAGGAAAAAAATCACCGCCCTTCTCGGCCTTATAAAGTGAGCGCTGGGTGAGTGCAAGGCACTGGGGGGTGAAATAGTGGCTGATACCGGGCGGCAGAGCGGGGTCGTTTGGTCCCGGAGTTTGTGGCTGCAGACTGCTGGGAAGGGGGATCTTGGCTGCCAAGCCCCGCAGGAGAATCAAGCCCAGGCTGCGATCCCCAAGGGCTGCCGCTGATCCCGAGCGAGGGATGAAGCCGGAGGATCCCCTTCTGGTGGGGTCCCAGACCCGCCGTGCCCCTTTGTTCCGGAAGGGTGCTCTGAATTTCAAAAGTCAGCGCCTTCCAAAAAGCCTCGGAGGAGGCGGCTCTCCCACCACCACCCCAGAGCAGGGAAGGGGGGACGTTGAGAAGGGCACCCACAAGTGCCCGGAGCCGTGGAAGGGGTGGGATGGGAGGAGACGAGGGGCTCCTGGAGCGCACTTTCCCCGGAGAACCGGGGCGGGGCTCCTTTCCCCGATGAGGACGATGGCAGGCCCCAGCTGCGCCCCGCGGGGCAGCGGACCCCGCTGACAGGGCACCCACCGCCTGCTGCCGCCGTCCCCTCCCGCGCCTGCCCGCGGGGAGATGAGTGTTCCGGTTAAAAAAAAATTACAAAATTATTTTTAAAGTTTAAAACAACGTGAAAATGAAAGCCGCTACTGCAATTTCTGTAAAACTTGCTGCGGCCCTGGCCCGTCGGTGGCTGCTCTGCACAGCCGGGCCGGGGCAGGGCCGATGGGACTGGTCACTGCCGTTCCCTTGTATCCGGCCTCCCGCTGCTGCCGACGGCGCTGCCCAGCGCGACCCAGCGCTCCCGGCCGCGGCAGCAGGGATTTACCCGGGAGTTTGTGCTCTGCCCGCCTCATCCTCCCCGCTACGGGCTGGGACCGGCCCTCCAGGCCCGCTCCTCCCTGGCCGGGGCCAAGGCTGCCCTTCACGTCTTCAGGGTGCCGTGGTTTAGTGCCCACAAAGGACCGTGGGGACCCCACAGGACAGCCTGCTCTGGGGTATCCCCCGCACAAAGCAAACGCCACTGGCATGGAAAGTTGTGTTTGTGCACTCAGGTACACCTCAACACTCATCACCAGCTACATCATCCCATCCTCATCCTCACTCTCCCAGTGTTGCACACTCATGAGCTCACAAACACCCATGCTCACATTCCCACACATTTTCTTGCACAAACACCTACATTTGTGCAGTTATTCAAACACCCCACACACTCACAGACAGTTACAACCCCCTGCACACACAAGTTCTGACACACGTTCCCATTCACACCTTCACAGCTGTTTGTATTCACACCCACAGTCACTCCCACAGCAGGCAGTAACACACCCCAGTTCCCGTGCATTCGGACACCCCCAGACTCTCACACACTGACACACCGGTGCTTGTGGGTTCCTGCCACCCTCACCCAAGCCGCAGCCCCGCTGTGATACCCAGGACCCGTCGCTGTCAGCACAGCCGCCACCACAGCCCCTCACGGGAAGGCTGTGGAGACAGCGGGCGGCAGCAGCAACCACGGGCGCCCCTCGGCCCCGTGCCCGGCCGGTGCCCAGCCAGCCTGCCCCCACCACCACCCAGCCCTGCCTGCCCGCTGGGGTCGGATTTCCCCCCTCCCAATACCTGCCTCAGTTCTTGACTTCTGAACTCTTCAGGGAACTCGCTGGCGCCAGCTCCATCAACCAAAGTCCTTGTGGTTAGGAGGAGCTGGGAGAGGAGGGAGGGAGCGAGGGCTGGGGCCAGTCGGGGCCGGGAGGCTGCCCTCGGGCAGGGGCCCTTCTTGTCCCACAGGACTGCCGCTGCCTTTCCCCTTCCTCAGGATATGCCTGAGCTTCTTCTCCTGCCCCTTGTCACACAGGAGATGTGGGGCAGAGTCTGCTCACCTGCCCTGAGCATGTCAGGTTGTCTCCACAGGGAAGCAATAAAAATGCCATGCCAGTCCTGCACAGTGCCACAAAGTCCCCTGCCAGTGAGCTCTGACACCCTGAGGGAGGCAGATCTGCTGCCAAGTCCTGAGACCCAGGAGATGCCCCCCTCCAGTAAATAACACGGGTGCCTGATGCCACTTGCACATCCCAAAGGCCCCAACTGATGCCAGGAAAAGCCTTGGCCTCCCCTGTGCCAGGGATCCCCCAGGCTGAGCAGATGCTGAAGGCCCAGAGGGACTGGCCTCCAGAAATCAGAAGGTCACCACCAGTGATCCAGTCTGGTTGGTGAGGGTCACAGCCCCCAGCTGCTGAGCCCAAGGTAGAGGCTTTGGGGCAGTAAAACTTGTCAGGAGACAGATTACAGGTAAGTCAGAATTCCTTCTGGCCAGCACCCAGGGAGGACAAAGGAGAAGAGCAGGCAGGACTAGGTCCTGACAGGGATTCAAAATTTCTGGAAATCAATGGGAATTATTGACGAGTTTGGGGATGATGCAGAGCCCTAGGATTTATTCCCCGCACAAGCCAGACTTCACTTGCGTCCTTGAGAAAGCCATACAGCTCCTGGCACTGGAAGTTTGGGCACTGCACATCTAAGCTCCAAGACAACACCCAGTTGAGATGTTCCAGTTCAAATTGCTCCTGGCCCCAGTTTCCCCTTAGGCTCTCCAGGGCTGTGGCTTGAGCAGTACTGTAGAGAACAAGGCTCTGGAAATGTCCTGTCAATTAATATACGGGTTTTGCCTCCCTAATTCTGAGGCTAAAGAGGCCAAGCTGCAAACTCACTGAGATATGTCAGGGTCAGTCTTGGTGCTTTCAGGTCCACATCCCAACGGGAGAGTCTACAAGGACCAGCACCCACTTGGAGATGAATCCAGTGAGCCTACAAATGGACCCCTGGGGTGGGAGCCCGAGGCACCCCAGCCCAGCTGCCTCTGCCTGGATCTGCAGTCAGCATGCTTCCATTTGCTGAGGGCTGGATTTGTCACACTTTGCTAGGACTCTAAATGCCAGGCCCTGCAAAAATAATTCAGATATCACACTCTAGGCAGAGCCCAGGGAGACAGACATTCCCAGATGATTCCCCAAAGTGCTGCTTTAGTTCTTAGTTCTTCTGCACAGAGAAATCCTGTTTTGTGGGAAACACCAGCAAGGTGGGTCAGACCTCCTTGGAGGCAGACAAAAGCCTCCAATGCAGGAGCTGACACGTGCACTAAGTTGCTGCAAAATTCATACATTAAGGAAGCCCAGTGTCCTTGGCCTCCACTTCTCCAGAGCACCTCACCTCCTTCAGGTATCCACAGCCACTATCCATATTCCTGCAAGCCTTGAAACTTTTGTCCCCCTTCACCTACCCCAAACAGCTGCTGGGACAAATTAATTTCTAAAATGGTGTTTTAATCCTGCCCCAGATGAGGGTTGAGGGCCCAGTTTATCCATGCTAGGAAATAACAATGAAGATGAGGGTTCTTCCTAATGCATAAGGCTCTCTCTCCCCACGAAGTGCCCAGGGGTCCTTTCTCAGGTTCTCTCATTGATCGTGCGCATCTGCCTCCTGCTAGCGGAGAGGAGCAGCCCTGCCAGGGCCTGACCTCCACCCTCCACTCCCCTTTTCTCCGGCTTTGCTGGCTTGCCGGGGCTCCTCTTGGCCCCTGAGCTCCTTTGCAGCTCGGGGCTCCCGGGAGTTTGGCATCGCAAGCTGCCTCTCTGCCTCGCAGCTGCTGGCCGGGACACCGCTGCGAAATACAAGCCCTCCTGAGGGGACGGGGACAAAAGTGGAGTGTCTGGGACCTTGGCAAGATCCCAGCAAAGCCCATCGGGCTCGGTCCGAAAACTGCATTTCGAGCAGTGCTTTCCAGAACCTGTAATACCCTCTATATCGCTGAAAGGAGAGCGAGCAGCCCGGCCGCGGGCAGGTGTGCGGCGAGAAACACTCCTCAGCAGAAGGGTGCACCCCGACACCCCTCAGCAGAAGGGTGCACCCCGACTCCATCCCTGCCTCGCTTTCTTGCTCCGGGGCACCCCAGCTCGGGTATTATCCAGCTTTCGGCACGTCCATCACCTCCCGCAGCCCTTTCTCTCTCCCGCCGCGGCCCCCGTGAAATCCATTGCGGCGGAGGCTCCGGTGCGGGCTCGGGCAGCGCACGGGGGCTGGCGGAAGAGCTCCGGGGCCGAGAGGGTACGGTGGGGGTTCCCTCCCCTCTCCCTGGAGCGGGAGGCGCGATGTCCGCTGCCGTCGGGGCTCTGTCCCT